AAGTCTTCTATTTCCAAGACTGAGAAACAAATGGCAAGAAGTCCATTATCACTTAATAGCATCTAGGAGTTATTAAAAATAGTTTGCTTGCTGAATAATATTTGACACTTTCTCTCCTCGTTGCTCTGCAAATGATGCCATATTTCAAAACATGTTGCTTTTTCTTTTAAATTTAATTCAGAAATTAGAAGCTAATTTGATGATCTTGTGCCCATTTTATTGGAAGAAAGTCACTATGAATTTTGCTGAATGTCCATGTAAATTGCATAGAAATAGGAAGTAAGATGGTCATATATTACAACATTACACAGTTAGGACATATGATGAACTTATTGATCATTTTATTTTCATGTGCAAATAATAACAAAGGTTATTCTTTACCAGATAAGTGGAATAGCTAAATATGATCTAGCACAAAAACAACCCCTGGAATTTAACATTATTAACATTTGGTTGTAGCATATAAATTTCCTTTATGAATTTTTCCATAAAGTTTTGTGACAACAGATCTACTAATCTAATTATGTTGTAACAATAATATAATTATGCCTTTTGTTGGTTTTTTTAAAAATGCATGAAAAAATAGGTTAAAAAGTTTCAATCAGGATTAACCAAAAACAAAATGCATCAGAAAGATTTGAATTATTTGAGGAATTGAGGAATTTACACTAACAACATATGTAAGGAAATAGTATACAAAAGTTTAGATTACATTGCCAAAGAAAATGGATGTATATTTTCATCTTCATTTCAAGCTTCTTTTAATTAACATTATGTGCTGTAATACTGCATTACTATAGAAACAGTAAAATGCATTTCACCAATAACTTTTTCCCCATTCTAGCCATAAACTCAACTCAGGATATGGCTGTAAAGAAAATGAGAAAACAGTATCGTCAGTCTTGCTTTCACAATATCTGCCCTTTCTGTGCAGTAGGAATTTTATCTATAAAGTTTTTAAAAAACACAAATTGAAAGATTAAACACTTTCAATTCTTATGACAAACCCAGTGGAGGAAGGCACATATAATTTGTTAGCTAAACTCTTACCATGTTTCTCCAAAAATAAGACAGGGTCTTATTTTCTTTTGACCCCTGAAATAAGCGCTTGGCCTTATTTTTGGGAAGTTCTTATTATTTTTGAAGTGCAGGAGACAGCAAACCTGGTCATCTCATGGCTGCTGCTGTGTTGCAATATTTTCCGGGAGGGCTTAGTTTCGGGGGAGGGCTTATTATAGCACATGCGCTCAAAAGCCTGATTGGGCTTATTATCCAGAGAAGTCTTATTTTGGGGAAAACAGGGTAATACAGATCATGAATTTAACTTACAGACTTTTGTTTTGAAAAAAATCACTGGGTAGCCTCAATATATCACACACCAATTATGCAATATTTTGCAATCACAGTGTACGATATTTAAGCTCTATAAATTTGCGATCACTGCTAAAAAAGCAAAAATGGGATGTTGCAATTGTGGCTTGTATACATGAATATTCACCACTATAGATGAAACCTGGAAGGTAAATATACCAATGCAGTACTGTAAAGATAACAGCAACATTTTGTTTGTTAGACAGTATGTTTCTTAATGCCCGAAACCAGAAATTACCAATAAGAGATGGTAATTATCATAATTTTCTGCAGTGAATCTGTCTGAGACATCCATCTATCAATGCACAGGATTTACATTACCATTGTTATGATGTGGCAAGTCACTCAAGCCTTGTTTCCAAAAAATACACATTCAAGCGTTAAACATAAATTCTTAAAAGAGAAAAGCAAGATGTATAATTCAAAATAATGCAATTCCTAAGCAACAGTGCCACCCAAAGGTTTGTAAATCATTAATCTACAATCCAACACAGAAATATTTCACTAATTATCCTAAACCATGCCACCTAGGGACTACTATTGATTAGTACACAGATGGTCATGAGATAACCTGATTATTTTAAGAAGTAAATTGCAGGGATTATAAATTCATTAATGCACCATGCTTACACATTCCACATTGTACCATAGTTCTGTTGATACCAAAGTCCTTACAATGGAAAAGTTCATGCATACATTTTCAGAACTGATGTATAAAATAGTACATTAAAATGTAAAGGATAGCATACCATGCCCCCAAATGCTGTAAAAGTGAAGAATTCAAAGTGATATAAATTATTATGGATCAGATCAAAAATCAGTTTCTGAAGATAGCATCATACCTGAATGGGATTTTAAAAAGAGAGGGTAGAATAATGTGTGCATGGATGCTGGTGACTCCTAGGATTATTATTTTTTAAAAAGTTGCAGTCATAGCAGCACTGCAAGAATGGGAAACTGACCTCTTAATTTTATCAATTACCCTGACTTAGTAAGGTAGTCTGAACACAATAGTTCCTCAATATGTTGAGTACGAGAGGATTCTAATTTTTGGTTTAACAGAGATATACTTAAAATATAATATAGTATAGAAAAGGCATTGCATGAAAACGAAGATAGAAAATTGCATTTCTAGATACCAAGTAAAGATTACAGATGATAAAGTACAATATGTTGCTATCACTATAGTACCAATACACAAAATGTAAAAAGATTCAGAAAGTAACATGTTTCAGAAAGTAACATGTTAGTGCATTACTTTCAAAAATACAGACTGAGCAAACTTAATGCAAGTCATATCTTATGTGGGTCACTAAAATCTCTCTTCTACTGTAATTTATTGAAGTTCAGTTTTAGCACTGACAGGAAAACTAAAATTAAGCTAAGAAAAGAATTACCGATATATTGTTACCTGATTGTGGTCATGGGTAAGACCTGTATAATAGCTAAAATAATTTGAGTGAAAACAAACAGAACAATTTGAAATACCATTAAATCCCACTTAAAAGGCCTAAATTAGGTCTTTGTTAATTATATGTTTTAGACACATCTGCTATTTGGGTTAAAAACAAAACAATTTGTACTCTGTTTTAAGGATCTTTAGATAAGATAAATATGAGAAATTAACTTTACATCAAATTAAGCCTTTCTTTATCCCTTTTATTTTAAAGGATTTTATACTACAATATAGGTAGTTATTTTACATTTTCTTAAAAACTCCATGTCTATCACATACTTCTAAAATTCCTTTTAGTAAATTTCTTTCATCTCCCATGTTACTGTTAGTTTTCTCCCCTGTTTTTAATGACAAAGCAACACCAACATTCTATTTACTTTTTTTAATTGCAAAAATTATAGGTTAATACTTATCCTTCTAAACTTTCCTATATATTTTCCTATTGGTATTGTTGCAAGAAATGTCGTTCTGGGTTCAGTTCCAAGTGGGGATAAAAGACATGGAAACATGGAGGCTGCTTGGAAAGATGGTTTAATGTTGGACAGGATCACATGGCTTGAGCTCTAGAACAGAAAAGGGGGATCACATGCTTCAGGGTGTTGGGTGAAGAAGAAAAAGGGCAGAGAGGCTGAAAGTCCCTGGTTTTATGCCCTCTCAGGGCTTTGAACTTGAGCTTGTATTCTGATTGGTTGTCAGATTCAGGGGAAACTCTATAGGCTGTGCTTTGAGTCCAAGTTTGGTTGCTTTACTGGTTGATGTAATTTTCCCCTTATGGTGAGTTTCTGTATAGGGTTAATCCTCTTTGGTATGTAGAATAGATTGGTTCAGGCCTTAATGGCTCATTGACAAAGGTAGGGAGGAATTGAGTTTTTGTCCTCCATTTAGAGGAAATATTCTGTCCTTTTAATATTTCTAAAATATTCCATTTTCTAGTAGAGGGGTGGGCTTTAACTTCCTACAGTAGCTTATGATTATACTTCGTTGTTTGTATGTACATTTGAGAGCTTCTGCACCAGAGACAAATTCTTTGTGTCCAAAGAATATTCTATTTCTATTATATTCTTCCATCAGTAACATGTGGTTGGTTTGGTTTTTAAAAAATGAAGAAAATGAGTATTAGTGAAATGAACAATGATAAAGTGAGCATATGGAATAAAAGCTGAATTTCCAGCTTTCATATGCAGGTCAAAAACACACTATAACAGGGGTGCATACAATTGATTTCATTTAAAAACTGGGCAAAAACTCTTTATCAACCCAATCCCAGCTGGAACAGTTTCCCCTCAGAGAATAATGAATTATTTTGCGAGCCAAAGCAAAAAATCAGTTTTTTGTGGCTGCCAAAAGGTCATAAATTCCATATTCTGATTAATTTTTAAATAAGAAAAGGAGCCCAAACGTTTGCATATTAGAATCAAAAACAAAACCACAGTAACATTGGCTTTTCATTTTTTTCTTAAGAAAAAGTATTTTTATTTCTCAGAGTGTCTTTCTCAGTCTAACCCACTCCATTTTGCCTAGAATAAGCCCAAAATAACTCAAGGTCGAACCGTTTACAGAGATTCCACTGTACCGTAAGTGGGCAACGTTGTGTTCACTTAATCCAGAGGTATTCAAACTTGGCAACTTTAAGGCTTGTGGATTTTAACTCCCAGAATTCTCAAGCCAGCATAGCTGTCCACAAGTCTTAAAGTTGCCAAGTTTGAATTTGTCTTTAACCTGATAAATCCAGTGTAGGGAATAGCTCAAACTGCATTCCCATAACACACTAATCTGGGATAGGATGCGCCTATCTCCGATGCCTAATAAATCGTAGTTCAACTTATCATAGTTTGGTTCCAGTACCCTTGAATTATGATTTTTCATCTAAAAATTATTTCAAACGCGCCTTCTGTTCAACGTTCCGGGCTAAATTATTTCAAATGTGCCTTCTGAAAAACATTCCGGGCTAACCCTGATATAACTAACATGAAGGTGTGTGGGCTTCAACTCCTATAATTCCTCAGCCAGCATAGCTGGTTAAGGAATTCTGGGAGTTGAAGTCCAACAATCTTCAAGTTGGCCAGGTTGAGAAACAAGAGGCACGTTATTTTCTTTGTATAACCATAAAGATAAAGCTAGAGCGTCGCCCGGAAGCCGAGCGGGTTAAAACCGCACAGGCGCGCTGTTTCGTTTGTGGTGCTGGGAGGAAGCGTGCAGAGATAAGAAGCCGATCCCGTGGGAACCCGGTGAGTTCTTGCAGCTGAAGACCCTTGGAGCGGCTATCATGGCGCAGGTTTTGAACCTGAACAATGAGGTGAGCGTCTGACTGGGAGCGTTGCCACATTGCTGGGAGGTAGCCTCCGGGGCCCTTCGAGATGGCAGAGAAGGAAACTTCGGATACTAAACGTGGGTGGTAAGGGGGAAAGAGGGTAAAGGCGTGTGCTTTTCGTTGGGTCATTAGGCAGTGGATGACTTCTCTCCATTGTACGCCCTTCAACTTCCTTCTAAGAATAATGGACACGCTGGCTTGGGGTGGTGGTGGAGAAGTCCCAGAAGGGAGGAAAGGAGAGCTGGTTTTTAGAAGGTAGTAATTCAAGAAAGGGAATGCGGAAAATCCTAAGTTAGCCCTTCCAAGCGTTTTTAGATAAGGTCAATGAGGATGTCTATGGAGATTCTGACTCACCCAAGTCATGGTTGTCCCAAAGGTGCTTTTTCCAAGAGACCACTGGACTTTCTGGTTTTTCTTCGAAGACATTTTGCTTTTCATCCAAGAAGCTGAAGAAGCTTCTTGGATGAAAAGGGAAACGTCTTCAAAGAAAAAACAAAATCCAGTAGCCTCTTGAAAAAGCACTTTTGGGTTTAGTGGGGATGCTGGTCACTGTGTAATAATTAGCCTTCAGTTACTGGAACTGGATTCTGGCCTTGCTTTTGATGAATGCACTAGCACAGTGCTTCTCAACCTTGGCCCACCTGAAGATGTGTGGACTTCAACTCCCAGAATTCCCCAGCCACATCTTCAGGTGGGCCAAGGTTGAGAAACACTGCACTAGCAGCATCAGGTCCAGAATGCTCATTTGAAGAAAAAAAAACCTGAACGTTACTGGAGTAAATAATCACTGTACTGTGCAGATGGCAACATATGGGCAATGATACACAATTTACATTTTTAGGATACTTTTCAGAGAATTGGTTCCCATGTGAGTTTCTTGGAGTCTCCTTTATTAGATTGCAGTTAACAAAACAGGTCCTTTTTACTGTCCTGTTTAATATTTTGCATCAATATCCTGTCTTTTTTTTCTTGAAAAATATGATTCATAAGGTAGGAGGAATGTGGAGTTTCTCTTTATTTTATCTTTCTCTAGGGACAACACTGAGAAATAGGATGAGCTTGCAGAGACTGCTCCCAAATCATATCGTGGTAAAATGCAGCCTTCAGCCTAATAAAATCTTGTAGAAAATTATGCTTCCATTGTAAAACTGATGCTTTATATGTGAAATAGTCTCTTTAATGCATTCTAGAAGAGTATAATACATTCTACATGGTTAGAATGCAGTACTGCAGGCTACTTCTGCTGACTGTCAACTGCCTGCAATTTGGCAATTTGAATCTCACCAGACTCAAAGTTGACGCAGCCTACTGACTCTGTAAAGGGCTGTAAAGCACTGTGAAGTGGTAAGTGCTATTGCTATTGCTAGAAGCATCTCAAATTTAAAACAGAGCAGTTCCAAACTCAAGGCAATCTCTGAATTTTATAGCATCTCTATGATGATTAGATCAAGTTTCTAGACCTTTGATGAAGATTTACTAGACTAGCACATATAGCATAAAAGATGGGTGGCATTTTTCATATAGTGAATTTTGTATCCAAAATGAAAAAGAAAAATTATTATTCTCATATAAAATTAAATTATTCTCATAAAGTCAGTTCACATAAGGCAAGGGAAGCCTTTATTTGGTTTGTTCTTTATTCATTCACACTAAATTCAGAGACCACCTGGATATACTAATTTTGTATTGGTCATTCACTTTTGTATTGATACATTTTCATTCAGCAGACATTGATTACTGTAGGAGGAGGGGTAATCGGGGGCCTGAGTGAAAGGGGGGCTCAGCTTAGAATCCCTGTGTAGCTGGAAGAGAACTACACTGTGTGCAATTATTAGACAAGTAAGTATTTTGACCATATTATTTTTTTGCATATTTTCCACCTCCAAGCTGTATAAAACTTGAATACTTAGTGTACATAAGCATATATATATTTAAAGTCACAACCCCTGGTATGCCCAAATATGGGAGGAAGGTCATACTTCCACTTTCTGTCTTCGGCTCGTCACAAGAGACCATCCAGACAGAAACCCAATATT